ATGAAGCAGAGTCCACGGCGTTTCATTTTGCAGGTCCCGTGTGAGCGTGTCCATGACGAGAATGAAAAGCAATGGCGAGAGCGCTGATCCTTGATGAACGCCTACGTTTATTGGGAAGCTATTTGATAAGCCGGCTGCGCATCTCACTCGGCTGGTGGTGTTTGTATATAACATCCGGATCCAGTTGATAAGAGCTTCAGGCACACTATGTTCGCGAGGTGCGTATCAGATTGATTGATAAGGACGCAGTCGTACTCTTTTTCAAGGTCCAGAAAGGTAACATGAAGTGGTTATTGTCTCTCCCTATGCTCCATGAGCAGACGAGCAGCAAAGATTGCGTCGGTTGTTCCAGAGCCTTTCACAAAGCCGCACTGGTTACTGGTCAATGTCACCATATCGCGTAGTCGTCGGTCGAGGATTCGCTCGAAGATTTTCATTGTATGCGATAACAGACGGATAGGGCAATAGTTAGAGCATTTAATTATTTCTGCCAAACGAGGTTATTAGATAGAACCTTTTTATTGGCCCGACGTTTCGACCTTCTCGTCTTCTTCAGAGGCCGAGGTTCCACCGTGCGGAGCCTAGCTCACGCTATGTGTCAGTAGTGTAAGTAAGAACGAATGAAGAAGACGAGAAGGTCGAAACGTCGGGCCAATAAAAAGGTTCTATCTAATAACCTCGTTTGGCAGAAAAACTAAACATTCGACATCATGCCGAGGTTACAAGAAAGGAGAACTTTGAGAATATAGTAGGGGAGAGGCATTCAGCAGGAACTCCTTTGTTCTTGAACATTGATACTTACTGCGTTCGATTGCCCTGCAACAGTTCGCTTGGTGCTTGCTAAGCAACGACGGCATTGAGGAATTTGGGCTGAGCCATGGATATCCGTTCTAAACAAGCAATTTCCTTCACTGTTCCAATGCTCTGCTGGTATGTCATCCAGTTCTGGCGCTCTGCGGTTCTTCATGCTGCTTATCGGCTTGGTAATTTCTTCAGTTGTGATCCGAGGGCTGAACTAGCATGCCTTGTACCTTCCGGAATTGGCGGGTGGGCACTTCCGATGCAGTGACAGCTTAGTTTTTTTTTGTCCTCCTGGACGCATCTGATACCAATTTACCGTCCTGGTTGGAAACAAAGCATGATGCACACTAAACGCTGGAGATCACACAGTATTTTAACCCGGACAGCGCGCCTTGTAAACAGAACACTTGCCACCATACTGCACCTATAATGCCAGTTATGAACCGTATTCAGGATGAATTTGGTGCCAATCAACCCAACGGGCCTTCAGTTTAGGGCAGCTTGGGTGCTTCTTGGATTTCATCTCTTCCCGAGCGTGCCTCCGAAAGGGTCCACTTGCGCACGTTGTTCTGCAGATGACCCGAATTTTGTTGGCTGGAGCGGCTCTAAAAGTTCACTTCGTCATGACATCCACGACCTCACGGATAAGAATGATCGAGAAAAATCGCTCAAAGAGTTCACCGTGCCGATGTTATCAGTATTTTCACGCTATTCAAGTTATGATTCAGCGGGAGGGTCGATTTCTGAAGGCGGCTCTGTAGCAGAAACTGCCAACAATATCTCTAAGTAAACCTCGCTGATTTGCATCGCGGTTGCAAAGGTTTTTGTTCTACTCCCTAGACGCATGCAGGAAGACTCCAATGGACCCGTGTAAACTTTTGAGTGATCCTTGACTGCAGGAAAGATCTGCGAGTGAGAAATGCGAGGCCGTCCTGCATCAGCAACGTGGATTTAACATGTGACGAGAATGTAAGTTGGTTGGCGCCACCTCAAAGTCGCGGAGAGGGGGAGTGGGTCGTGCTGCGACACCCTTTTGGAAGCTAAAGTGTGCTGCAGCTGCCAGATCCCCGCACGCTGATGTGCCCTATTCGTTCCCTCTACAGATCAAGGTAAGCCTGTCGGTGACTTCCCTTTCTGAAGATTATTCATTGACAATTTTAGGTTTTTTCCGATGAAATTTCCGGTCCATACTAACCATTCGTATCTGTTTTCGGCACACTAAACTCTTCCTATCGCAAGATGTTCTCTGCTCATTTTTGAACACAGACAGCACTTTCAACAGCAGAGTGGACTCCCACTTAGACCTTCTCGCCTCGATCAATCACCACATCTTTTTAGGATATTTCTAAAGCAGCTGTTGCAGCTGCTGCAGCTCCAGACGAGGAATCGTGACACGCGTCTGCTTGACGAATCTGATTCAACAGAGTGAAAAACTATGGTTGAGGATTTGCTGTATGATCACTTGACAGATGGTTTATTTTTCATGTGCAGGGTGGTCAGGTTCGCAATCACGGATCTGTACAACTTTCGCTTCTCGGAGATGCCACTTAAGGAAGCTAGAAGCTGAGACGGCTTGATGTTGCGTTGTGACGCGCCATGCTTACACACTGTCTCGCGACCCTTTCGTGCTGTATCGTCCTACTGAGATGCCATGGGTCCTATGAAACCAGTAGATTCATTTTTGAGAAAAATCTCGAAATCGTTCTCAAAAAAAGCCTAATCCGCACGCCGTTTGGCCGTAATGGCTCGCCAGAAAACTCAGCCACCATGCATTTACCCATTAATTACCGGATATGGAGCGCTTTACTTGTCCCAGTTTCCGTGACGCGAGTAACGATTGTTGGGATATTACTATTAGTCCACGCAGTACGGCGGCTTCCGTGTACTGGTTCATGATATATTCTCCAGGTGCGATCCGCTGCATGCTCTGCTCCATCCCCTATATTTCAGATTGATTGTGCCGGATCATCTCAGGAGCCGATTAGGCCCAGCACGAAGAGATATTTTGACCACTTTTTGGGTTAGCTGCTAATACTTATTTTGATATTAAGTATTTATGGTATATTTCTCCTTTTCAGCTTTCAATCGTAGTCTGAGAACGAACGAGTAAATGTTCAGCTTTACAATTCATCCTGTGCTTCTATGACACCTTTTATCTTTATTCAAGGTTTTTTTTTGCTCACCTTACGATACTTTGAGATGAAATCGCTAAATTATAGGAACCTACATTAACACGTTCCGGATCCGTTACACACATGATGTGGTCACGGTTTGGGTTCTCTATGCGCTGACTTTATTTTATTAATTGGCTATATTCATGTTCTTGAAAGTCATGTAAAAACCGCCTCAAAGATAAAGAAAATATTACCTCATGAAAACAATGAAATAAACGACTAGAAAATGGGGAGGCGGGGGAGAATTGTTATTGGATGAATTTGTGATTTTAAATGATGAATCAATCGCGAGATGCCGTGCAGTACCAGTCCCAATGTGATAGCCAATCCCTCCATGTCAGCCATGCCACTAAGGAAAACAATTTTATTACTAACGTTCTCCGTTAATAAAATAGATATGATATGCCTTTAGAATGAAAGCCATTGTCGAGGAACACTTCTTCTGCACCAGAGCACTCCAGGTCGGGCGTGTTGTATGGATTCCTGAAAAATACGAACCCCCCCGCTAACTTCCGCATTCTCTAATACGACCCTACACTCCCATCTCCATCGCCTACCTACCCAGCTTCCTATCATTCTCTCAGCTTCTACTTTTTCCAGTTTTTTCGGGCATCTTCGGCGAAAAAGGCTCCTAGTTTTCCCTAAATTTTGCTGCGCGACGCCAGACGGGTGGCGGGGGGGGGGGGTGGGGGGAAGAATGTCAAAGGCTGACACTATGTTTTCAACTGATTCCGGAAACAGTAGTTGGTGGTAGGAAGACGTGTGTGAGGCAAAAAGCGAGAATACGGGACAAGAATGTTTCTCCCAACGCCGCAAGGTTCCTCTTCAACGACAAATACGGACCCTCATAGGTCTTCCCAATAACAGACCAAGTACGACCCCGTCCCCTTTATAGCATCGTCGTTAAGAGCATGAAATAATCAACTTTAAAAAGAATTTTCTCAGGACCAAAAACTACCCGCTACCTCGTCATCCCCCCCGCCCCCCGTTGTTATCACAACCATGGCGTACCCTGTTCTGCACCTTTTGCATGGAGCAGAATTCCGACCATCTGCAAAACGCAACCAATATGTTTTTATTTACAGCAGTCAATCTTGTGCTTGGCAGTGCTTTCGCTGACGTCAGCAGTCAGGACAGGAAGAACAGAGTGTCTGCCGTATCGCGTCATGGGAGACGCCTATTTGACGAAGGATTCATAAAGCGGAAGGGGGGGAGAGGAAGAGGTATAAATTTAGGGACGATTTGCGTTCCGAAAAGTTTGTAGGTACGTTGTTATCCATGCAAACGAGAGGTCGTGTGAAAGGGCGTGGAATGAAGCACAGCTAGGACGGCATTTCCCAGCAGTTGTTGCTGACATCACTGATGGGAAGGGGGGCTCTAGCTGCGCTCCAATCAACGCCTCAGGGTATCTGAGGAAACTTCAATGGCTGTGGCTCTCGTCCCACCTGGCCATCTCGGAGTGTGCCGTCAAGCTTTATTTGTATAAAAAACAGCACAAGGCTTTCATACGTTAAATAGTTTTATAGAACAAAATACAACAGAGATCAGCACCTAATAAACACCACAAAAGAGGTCATATTAGAATATCCTGCAGCCACCGCAGATTTAAAAGAAACAAGTGGAAGGCTGCTCTGAAGGGCAACCTTCCCATCCTTTCCATGCAGTGAAAGGAGTTTCATTGTCTCGATCGTGTCTGAAAAAAGATCTGGAAATGACGTCAGTTTTTAAAGATCAATTTGGAAGGAGAAGTTTTGTGGGATCGTTGTTGGCCAGAATTTTCCACAGTGTGATGTGGGCCTTGCTCGGTACCCAGCACTGTCCGCGCTGGCCCTCTCGATAGAGCCGCTGATACCGTATTCCGTTACTTAGAGACCAGTACCTTAGTCCTTGTTGCGAGCTTCGAAAAGCGTGCCATCATTGAGAAAGGAGCACATGTTCAAGTGTCTCCGCCCATAGATCCATCGCGGAATGATCCTTTCTCTTGGCATAGAAGTTCTAATGGAAAGAATCAATACCTAGCAGCTTCTATGCGGAAGTACGAGGCGAATCCAACTTGTCTTTCTTCACACTTCGAGGATAAATAGTCGACCGTGGAGGAGCTCTCAAAATTCCTGGAAAAAATCTATTTGAAACATTTGAATGCATACTTGTGATCAACTTTGGGCGCAGTTTGGTTAGGGGGGCGGGACAAATTGCATTTTCACTAGTTCCTTTGTGAGTTCGAGAGACTAACAGGTCTCACGTTGGCGAGACCTGTTAACTCCTGAGAAGCGACGGAATGATACAGGTGAGCCACTTCAGTAAAATAAGAACTCACAGATCTCCAGAAAATGGCCTGAGCAATTCCTGCCGAGTGTCGTGCTGTGCACCCCCTTATTTCCTTCTTTTTTCCATTTTATTCTCAAATCCTCTGCCCCGCAGTTCGGCGCCGATGGCGAGGTGTCAGGAGACGTAGAATGCGCCCATCCCTGATAGTTTTCCACCAATAGTGACTGGTTCGGGAAGAAAACGAAACAGTGGTAGGAAGCGCTGAAGGTGAGCCATTTCATGCTCTCTGACCTCACCCCGACTGACTTGACGACGTCCATGAAATGTCTGGTGATGAGACGCGCGCCTTCGACGGGCGGCAGCAGCCCTAGCAGATCGGTCATCCTCAGAATCCACAGAACTCTCTCCAAATATTCAGTATGTCTGACGCGCTAGCAGAATCGGTCATCCTCAGAATCACAGAACTCTCTTCAAATATTCAGTATGTCTGACCTTGTTCATAGATACTTCTGCCCAGCAACGGATTTGCGAACGGACTCAAGCCCATTCCACCATAACCAAGGCCAGCCGCTCCAAGGCCAGCAGTTCCAAGGCCAGCACTTCCAAGACCGGGTGGAAGTGCATAGCCCATTCCTGGTACTCCTGCAAAAATCATATACGAAAGGGTCAACGTAGATCTCCTAACTGGCATTCCACATGAAAATAAAGAGTCAGAAGTACTTACCCATACCCATACCCATACCATACTGCATGCCGAGTCCACAAGTACCACACGACAATGCACACATGCGCCGCATCATAAGAGCATTTGTCGCGCATTGGCCTGAATACTCTAGTTGAAGTTCAATATAGTCATTATCACTTACAGGCAGTGGACACGATGGCTGAGGGCCAACTTGACTTATGGAAGGGTCCTATGCAGTCCTTCCACTAATGACGTTGGCAGCAACTGCCCGCCCACAGCCATCGTGCCCACCACACTGCCTTGAAGCCAGTAGGGGCGCGTCAGCGACACGTGGGTTTCAGTGCGGCGGCAGCCTGTTTTATGTCGACCATTGCGACTTAAGGAGTTCACTAAGTGGAGGGATAGGGGTTGGCCTAAACCTTCGCGACGCTGACACCCCCAACTGACTTCTGCAATTTGCGTCTCTAAATAATCGTTGTAGCCAGGCATACCTGTACTCGCCCAAACTGGGCACTGCATATTCGTGTCCACACACATTCCGCTGACAGCTGGGTCGACAACCATCCTTAATTCATTGAGTAGGACTGGCTATATATGTGTCTGAAGTGCACATTCATACAGCTGCTGGGGTGCCAAGGGGGATTGAGTTATGGGCGCTGTGCTACAGCTTCGTTCTTCGCCAGACGCAGCCCTGACACACCTCAGTCGCAGATCCTTAGAAACTGTAAATGGGGTCGTGTTTGATTTTCTGTACATTTCGGACTGGCTTTTGAGATCCATAGGCAGCCACTTCTCCGAAGCAGGGTGGCTCGGTCTGCAACTGTCTTCTTTTTGAGTTCGCATCAGGAGCCTACAGCTCACTCCTTGCCATCGTGAAATGTATCTACTGGGATAGTGAAATTCCCGAACAGTTCCAGGTGGTACATGGCCGAAATTCCATTTTTAGACCATCTCGAAACCCAATAATTATTAGTACTTATTGATCACACCCAGTAACGATAATGAAGTAGGGCGGTTATATGACCTAGTTCTTTCGCATTGTGAATTCAGAAACGCATCCAATCTGTAGTAGAAGGTCTCTGCTCAAGGTTTCAATCTGAAAAAAAAATTTCTTCGTGACTTACCCCCTCATAGCGTACGTATTGGCAGCATTGTATGGATCAACGGTGATTGGTGGACTCCACCCTGAAATCAGGAAAGAGGTTTGGCCTATCTAGTGTTTCAACTTGAAAAACTGCATGACATGGCTTCCTCCTATTTTTGGATTTTCTGAGAACTTGTCTGAAAGTGCCGGTGTAGTTGTGCTGCGATCACAACCAGATTAATCGCCGAGCAGTCTTGTTCGCAGGTTGATGATGCGACATGTTAGGGGCGGGGGGGGGGGAGTGCGCTGCGCCACCTCGTTTCTCTTCTTTTTATCTTTTAGAAAGCGACGAGACTGTCGACTAGTCGCTTTCCATCAGTTCTTGTCCCTAGCCCTCTACAATTGGTGGAGAACGGATCGGCGTCGCGTTAAACGCTGCCCCCTGTCATACCCCACCATCCGCAACGAACAAGGCTGTGCATATTCTCCGTAAGTGGAAGTTTCAGAGGTTTTTAACCGAGGTAGGCCGACTACCAGTTGTGTTAGCAACAGGCTTCGTTAGTAAGTGGACACAGACTGATTCAAACAGATACCGAACAGGAACCCAAATTACCAAGTTACTTATTTTTCTATGAAGCGATTAAAACCAGTGCAGACACAGGTTCCGAACAGCACTCTTTCATTACGATTGTAATGCCCTGGCAACTAAAATCGTAATTTCCTCGCACACTTGAAGGCAACGTACACGGAATCGGTGCACCGCGCAGAAACCCCGCCTCTCACCGCGCACGATCCAATGCGCCGAAATCGGCACAACACTCTAGTAGAAGTGCAGAGAGCCTCTACTAGAGTGTTGTGCCAGTTTGCAGACGTATGAAGAGAGCGTAGGTTCGTTGGG